CATAATAACCACACGTGTCCGCACCAGTTCCCTGAAGTCGGAGTTGATTAGTTATAATTTTCCTCTCCCCGGCGCTCCACTTCATTCAGTCTGCCGCTAGTGTACGTTCAATTCAAGCTGTCAAACAGTTCTACACTATTATTCGAAGAACAAATAGCAAACCAGTGTCGTCCGGGTGATGTTCGGTCATCCGTATTTACCACAATTGCGCACGGTAGTGGTCTGTAACACCTCATGTGCTCGGCTAATTGTTCGGATAATTCCATTTTTGCGTAAATTCCCAAGACTTGTTTTCGTAGGACGGGATCACAATGCACAATACATTCAATCTGCGACGTGTTCATTATCTCTCTGACAAAATAATATTCCTCGATTTATCAATCTGAAATCCGAAATGTATTGAAATAAGTTAGCGAATGCGGGAATAATTGTTTCACCTTCTGTCCTGTCATAACTGATCTTCATTGGCCCTGTCTCACCGACGCATTCACCGTCGCAGTATAATGCTATTCCGGACAAATCATAGTTTTCGAAATTACAGGGATTTTTCGATAGGTCTCCAGCAACGGCTTTTGACGATACAAATCCTACAACCACTTTATTTGGCCGTGCTCCTTGAAAGATATTGTTATATGTAAACGCCACTTGACCCGATGGTATGGACATCATTTTTACTTCTGTTCGCTTGAACGGGTATTTTGCCGTTGTGGTTGATAAGGCCGTGTTATGACCTCATATAACCCCCGGATTCACTTGCACCCTCATTACTTTCAAAACGACGTCTTCTACGTGTATGGTGTAACTTTCGTCTGTCTTGGTGGCCATAAGCGCAAAGTTGGGGCTCGAACGATAAAGTTTTACTTGAACGTCGACTTGATTTAGAATATATCGATCAATGTGGAACATGTCATGTAGCAATGAACCTGCCATGTCAAACCGCTTGCTGGTTGACGTGATTTTATTTCTCTGGAAAAGTCCGTTGTTATCTCCATTAGGATCAGCATCATCCATCACATATTCTGTATCCGGTACGTACAGCTGAGTAGTTAATTTCGATTTGGCATTGGTTTCATTGGTGTTCAACAGGGTCTGAATGATGGCTTTGTATGGATAGTGATTGTTGGTTGATGTGATTAATTTTCCCTGTAACCATACGTCTACTTGGCTGAAAATGGAATGCATAAAGAGATTGACCAGTGAACAGTTGTCGGTTGCAGTCAAATCTTTACCATCTCCCTTCGTAATTCTACAATTCATATATAACATTGAGCGTCGCAAGTCGATATATTCCAATCCGTTTTGACTGCTAATGTGAAATTCAATGGGGGCATTGCCGGAAAGAGGCGAAATTGGACGACAGTCTTGCAAATAAGTTCGTTCAACACCGGTCTGAGTCGGTGTAGTGTGAATAAAGTCCAATTCGAGGTTGAGTTTCACTAAAGAATTTTGGGGTCGGCGATGAATGCGGCCACTGATAACTAATTTTAATCAAAAATATCACCGAACAGAGCTCTTGCCTTTCTCTTATACAACTTCTTCTTCGACCTTCTTCTACTTCTGTTGGTGATGTTCTTTACTTTTCCGTGTTTAATAACCTTCCTTTTCTTTTTCTTCTTAGACTTAGACGAGTCTCCTACCGTGCGAGAGGTCGATGTTGCACTGACTCCTTTCACCTTGCGTCGCTGCCTTTCAACACCCATTCCTTTCTCTATCGCGATGCGGGAAACGGTTTCGAGGGTTCCATTATGATTTCGGCTTTTAGCTTGATCTACCGCCTCGTTCACTGGGGTGTTACCAATTTTTATATCCTTAAAGAGTCAGACTGCATGGACGGGCTTCATGTCACGTGGGGTAGATTTATCATGGCGGATATATTGTGCAGAGTGGATATACTCTGAGCTCCCTCTGAGAACTGATGATTGCTCGTTTTGCCTTGGCGCTAGGTTTGCATAATATTTGCGCCACAACGTCGGGTTTGGTATGTAGAGTTTATCATCCCATGTTCGGAATAGGTTTCATTTGACATGATTAAACAATGAAGGGATATTGTCGTAGTTGTAAAGTCACGGACGAGGCGTTCGATAAGAATGTGGCGGGTTTTCCAGAGGCATCTGTAATATAGGTATCGAATTGTTGTACGGTGTCATTAACGATCCTTAATGGGATGTCGTAAGGATCTGAAATTAACACGTTCCACATACGTTCGGTAGTGGATAATACGCGTCGGAGAAGGTGTTGGCTTTGGACTATTATGGGTTCGCATATCCAACAATATATATACAAAAGGTCATCGGTAGCTTTCTTCTTCCGCTGTTTGCCACGGGTAACGGGAGGAGGTGATAACGCAGGTGATGCAGTTGCGTAAAACTCTCTCAAAGAAACGGACCACTGTCCTTCAAGATGGAGTGGTTGTTTTAAATAGGCAGAAAACTGATGAGGTTTGTTACCCGGAAAGTAGTCCATATTGTCAAATTAAGCTACTAATAACAATCCACTCCATCACGTTAAATCTTTCACTTGATCTCTGCGTTAATCCAGGAGTTGAATTTCTTGGGAAACCCTCTCCATTTCCGCATTACACTTGTTTTATCTTCTCATTGTTCTGCCAACGCTTGGTTCTCCTCTTTAAAATGTTTTCTATGCTCCAGTCGACTTCATACGGGTTTCTGCGATATTTCTGGAGCTCTTCCTCGTAAAATGTTCCCTGTAACGGATCCGATTGTAAGTCCTCGAACCAACAGATAGCGAGTTTATCCCTTATCCGACGTTTGGTAATTCGGAAAATCTCTTCAGACCACTTCTGCTCGTATTCCTTTTCAAAGGTACGCTTGATCAATGAAATGCGCACAAAGTCTCCGAATTTTGAATTTATATCTTGTTTTTTATATAATGCAATAACGTATTCGTTCTTGTTGCGTTTGGTTTAGGTTGGGTCTTGGAACCCCGAATATATCCTTTGAGGGTTCATAGTTTTCTAACCAGACCTCGGCTTCAATGTTGGGCGTTATGGCGAGTGGGAGACCTCCCTCTCAATCCTTTGTGAGGTCGATGATTATAGTTGAAAATAAGATCCGGTAAAACATCTAGATACTTGTAGGTATTTTTGTAAGTGAAATATCTGAACATGAGAGTCCTAAGCGTGCGAATAAACCGTTCTGCGTAGTTGGCTTTTACGTCGGAATTATGCGTAATGAAGTGTTTAACGTGAAAGTTCTTAAATAACTTGTTTACCGACTTGTTTCGAAATTCCGTTCCCTTGTCTGTGCATAGAAGGAACGGGGGTTTGTCCATGGAGCTCAACACCCTGTCCATGGCATTTGCTATCGTTTTCGACGATTTGTCTTTCACTGTAGCATACCATACATATCTGGAGAAACAATCGATTAGGATAAGAATGTATTTTATTCCGTCATTGAATTCCGACAGATTTCCAACATCGCATAGATCCGCGTCCGTTTGAACATTGATTCCGCTGACAATGACCTTGTTTCTCTTAAAGTTCTTTGATGGCTGCTGATGAAGAGAATAGGCTTCCTGTTTCTGTAACCATTTTAAAACATGTCGCGATTTCACGTTTGGGTGATCGTTCGCGAGGGCTTGGGCGAATTTCTGTGCTCCGGCAAATGCTCCCGGTTGTCTTGGATCAAAATAGTTGCGTCAGTAAAGTTCTGCCCTGTTCATACTTTACATTGACCGGTTTGGTATTTGCGCGAAAATAATTTTGATTACTCGCTCTATCCAGCGGTCCATTTTCAATATTGTGTCACGATAATCTCGGCACTCGTATTTAAGTAGGTATAGAGGCGATACATTCCATAGGATCGGAGTTTCAGAAATGAGAATTTTCCAGCGGCGGGTGACTTCAACTTCATCGATTGAAGATAATAATAGTTCTTTGACGAATTTAGATATTTCATCCCGAGTTATTTGTATAGGGATAGCGCTCTGACGGGCTGTATCTATGTAGGCACGAGTTAAAAGTTCCTCCAGACATAGATTGATGTTGTGCGATTCCACTTCGTCCACTATAAAATCCATGAATTTGTTGAACTATAGCAAATCCGTAACCAATGTTTTCTGGAATAGATGAGAAAAAGTGAACGGAACCCCAGGAATCCGGTAAATCCGTGTCCAGAAGATTTCCTCTTCTATATCTAAGGTGATTTAAACACTCCCTCTTTGTGGGAAACCATTCGTCGGACGTGGATGTAATTACTTCTTCACCAAAATGTTGCCTTTGAGTTCGAGGTGGAAATGCGATAGTCACCCATTTATATTGTTTCATGATAGATTGCGATGTGGCAGTAGTCCACGGGATGATTGAAAGCGATTGAGCGTTGCGAGCGCTTTTGTACCTGACACGTAGGCGCCACATCACTTCGTTTTATCTCTCTCGCGGAGTGTTGTTTGAACACGGCTTAGTTTAGTCTTATGAAGTTCAAAAGACGTGCGCAGTGCTACATCGGACGCGGGGTATTTTTTTACTTACTGGGATGGGATTATTTACTTTGTGGGTGTGGGCGGTCGCGCTCCGAGAGATTAAAGCTGTTTTCGATTTTGCCGAATGTAGATGAATAACGCTTGACCGTTTTCCGGGTAAAGGGACACCTACTACTACTTACCTGATATCAGCTAGGATGGGGGCAGTTAAAACACATTTATAAACACGAAAATACTCTGATACGAATAGACACTCTGATTTAAAATGATATTTCGAATTATCATGGGTGTATATTTTTCAACAGAACCCTCGCCACGCCACGCCACGCCACGCCCCACCACGCCACGCCAAGAAAGGTTTTCATAGACTAAGATTTGGCCTGGGGCATGCAGCATGCTGTATGAAAGCAGGGGTAACGATGTTTGCTCATTGTTTTGTCATTTAACTAATAGGATAGTGTCGCATATAGGATCTTCTATCGATACACATACCCAATCACATGAGGTTCTGTCACTTATATACACACGACGGAGTAGAACAAAACTATCTTTCTACTCACCTCTTACACCAACAACTCACAGCTGCCTGTCTGTACTGCAATATATGTCCAGGCGACCAGGAAGTGAATCAAGTGAAGCAAGTCGTGAAAGCATTTTTACAGACATAGAATACTGCATACAATGTACATTGGTCTCCTAAAACCCGGTAGAGGTTTTGGAGCAAGTTTATAAAATATACATTGTATATTATACACTTGGCACATTATACAAGTTTGAAACTTCTTTGTTACATGTACATGTAATGTTCGACAATTCACGTCTGCACTTTGGCGGCACCCGTGAAGAGCCACCTCCTCGTGGTGGGTGCTGGGTAACGCCAAGAGCTCTTCGACCCCCCATTGTGGACCCGGGGGGATATTTGGTCCACCAACCCGTTTGCCGTGGGTTGCGCCCCTGTGTCGGTGGAGGACGGGAGGCTGGTGGTGGAGGGCACTGGTTCCAGGAACAGTGTTCCTTTGCCCAACACACCACTTCGCCCCTTACTTCACCTAGACGGGTGGTACAAATGGCCCGGTTCTATCAATCGGCTGGTCATGCTAAGCCCTGTACATGTAAATTTTGCTGTACAAATTTTTAAAATTATTTAGAATCATTTTGTCAGGTGTCTCGGCTCTATGATATTATATTTGTATTTTGACTGTACAACTCAATTTAATGTACAATTTTGACTGTACAATTTAATATGTTACCTAGAGTCCTATGTCCAGAAGGCAGTGGCTCATGGGCCAATCTGGTGGAATAATTACTTGTTGATTATTCTGCTTGAGTATATCATCCGGGTATCCTTGGTGCTGCAAGTTGGAAATCCACTTGCGATCAGCATTGTCTTTATGATACTCCGTGGTGGGTGGGGAGCTCGGATGACGAATCAAAATAAACTCAACATGGCTTACGAAACCCCAAACAAAAAAACGAAACGTCCACTCGATACTGATGACGACGAACAGCGACCCTCAAAATCCGTTGATTACTGGCCACGTTTCCTCGTTCTTGAGACTCTTGATAAAACTCCATTGAAGCTAAATCCGTTTGCAGTATCAAAAGGTATCCACGGCATAGCAGGTGAAATGAAAAACGTTAAACGCTTGCTTGCTTGCGTACGCTATTGCTCGAGTGTCACAGAAAGCAGCAAGCAACTAACCTGCTGTCCACAGAGCTGTTTGTCGGAGTTCCGGTTATGGTCTCTGCACACAGAACACTTAACACCAGTAAGGGTATTGTACGAGACCGAGATCGTCTCTTTGCAGATATGACGGAAATTGACATTGTCACAGAGATGAAAGATCAAGGAGTCCTTTACGTGAAAAGGTTTACAACCCGGAAAAATAATGAAACTGTGCAAACCAATACATATCTCTTTTCTTTCTCTGCCCCGAATCCTCCACCATCAGTCAAGGCAGGTTACTGCAATGTAAAAGTTGATGTGTACATCCCAAGTCCTCTGCGGTGTTTCAAATATCAGAAATACGGACACGGTGTTAATACTTGCACATTGTCTGTTGTGTGTGCTCACTGTGGTGAGAAGACGCATACAACAGAAGATTGTGTCAGTACCTTTAAGAAGTGAACCAATTGTGCAGGTGATCACTCATCGTTCTCAAAAGATTGTCTCATTTGGAAACAGCAGATGGAGATAAATAAGATCAAGTTGACTCAAAATATCAGTTTTGCTGATGCCAAATCTTGTCTTGAGATCGGAAATTCAGGAAACTTATGCTTCAAAAGCCAAAACATCTTCAGACAGAACCCCATCAGTAATTACATCATCTGTCAGCTGTCAGACGAACTTGACTTGGATAAAAACAGATTCTCCGAAGATTTTGTCCTGCAATATCTACACAAACTGCAGATACACTTCCTGACACACCCCAACTCCAATCAGAACCATCTTATGACCATGACACATCTTCTCAGTCGAATCAAAGGTCTCAAATTAACATCAAACGTTCAACAAATAGTTAAAAACAAAGGCAAACCAAAGCCAGATGCTTTGAAGAAACAAAGTGGCAGAACCCCAAAAGGGGCAGATGATAAAATCAAATTGTTTAACAAATACGGATCACTTGAGGACATGGACGTGTCCGAAAACGTCCATTCTAGGGCACATACCTTGTCGCCCTCGAAAACGGTGCGGGGTAGATCCCCAATTAATCCGCCTTAAAGATAGGTCTATCTAAACATATCGTGCAGTGGAACTGTAGAGGACTACGGACAAATTTTAATGAAATACAGCTATTAATCCAGGATTTAACACCATCAGCGTTCTGTCTGCAACAGACGTATCTGAAACGGACAGATAAAACAAAGAGTCACATGATAGGGCTTCATCAAATTTCCCGAAGAGAACGTTTGGTATCTCAACTGTTCAATGTAGTGGCTGGTCATATGCTATCTGCGACCAATCGTATCATGAGATACCTGTCACAGAGGAAAGGACAGGTGATGGGGCGTGGGCGAAATTTCTGAAGAGCACGTTTGGTCACTCAACAGCTTGGATAGAGATTGGTTATTGGCTATATCGTTGACCAGTCGATATGCTTGGTTTCGGATTTATCAACTCAAGCTATCATGTAACAGTTTGTGTATTGTAAACATACACACTGGTAACGATGTATGAAATATGCACATAAGACAAATAGGAGTAGATAGTCACTTTGGCGAGTTTATTTGTCCTCATTTTAGTGTTTTTCGATAAGTAAAACAAAGCGATTGAAATCCAACCACTGAGTAGAGGTAGTATTTATTTTCATATACATTTTATGCACACAACTAGTACATAAAACATAATGGTTTGCTGTACATGGAAATATAATCTTCACCTTGATACGAATGACTATCCAAACTAGAGTACACGCATTACAGAATTCACGAGGTGACACTATACTGAATTATTATAGTGTATAAACTTGCAGTTGACACCCCCACCCCCAATATTTATGAAGGTGGGCGTGCCTATATCTTACTGAATGCAAACGAGGTTCATAAGATTAAAGATGTGCGTGCATGCATGTATAAACATCACAGAGAGGGGCGTGACTCCATAAAGCAAGATGTCCAATGATATAACAGCGCATCTGTTTATTTTACACTTGTCACAAACTGACAATTCAAATCAACATGAAACTCTCAACAGCTTGAACAAAAATGCTTGAAATACCTTTGTATGGCTTACATGTAATAACTTATGATATTACTTCTGTCCATGTGTGACAATGTTTTGAATTACCAACTTACTGTCTTTTGTAACAAACGTAGTAAAACATTTCATTGTTGTAATGTTATAGGGACTAATTCAGGACAGCCATCGTCCAAATATTTAAAAAGTCCAAAACTATGTACTCAAGACATGTGAGACTTTATTGTAATATATATATGACGCTAAGCTGTATTTTTAATCACTACTGTACATCCTTATCACTACCGCATTGTAAATTGACTTGTCAGCCCATTAATTATTGTATAAGACATTTATAACCTTCATTGGTAATCCCCCTTGGCCGTGTCTGCCATCACATCAACTGGTCAAGGAAGTGCTATTGTTTTTCTGTCTGTCCATTGATGAGTCGTCGCCTGTCCATTGTTGTCAAAAACTGTATATATACTTAGTATGCTCACATCTAGACAGTGAAGGAGTACGAGTTCGGTATTTGGACTGTCTGTTGGGGCGACCACGAGCAGGATAATGCCGCTCGTAGGAAACGCCCTGGGGTTGAGCAGGTACTCCGCTCACCTCGCTCATGTCTTGTGTATTTGTTTGTCATGTACTAAAGACGTTTGAACTCAACTATGCCTTCGTCTTTATCAACGCACACTTCATCTTAATTATGAGCTAATTCCCCAGTTGACATATAATCCACGCGTTGACAGTAATAACACTGACATGTATATATGTATTCGATGCAAAGGCGCGACTTATCACTTTATATTCGCTTAGGTAACATTACGAACTTTAGATTATGGAAAACAACTAGTTACAATTCAGTAAACTTCAAATTAGTAAGTTCAATTATGTTTAATCTATTCGAGCTTGGATGTATAATTACTTGTGTTTATACATTATGTTTCAGTATATGAAACATGACAACGTAATGATGCCTAAAAAGTAAATTCAAACTATTCTATTGTGTTTGAATTCTTTGTATGTCCTTGAAATTTCGTATATTGTTTCCTATTTATTAGGTAGTTGAAGGAAATATAATTTTTAGTAACCTCTAAACCATTACATCTAATTCAATCAAGGTGCATACGAAGTATTTTAGTATCCATTCCCAAGGAAGAGTACCAGGCACTTACCTCTGTAAAAACATCATAATCCCCTTTCTCGCCGACATGCGTTCATTTGCTAAACGCTGTACAAGCCTATGATAATGATTAGCAATTGTTATCAAAACACTTTAAATACTTCTTCTGATTGATACTAAAGGTGGGATCTCTCGTAAGAAAAGCTAACATTTGCTCAGTACTGCTAAATTGGTTGAAATAATAGGTACAGTGCGATTTTTAAAAGTACAACACACATGTGCGTCTCTCGCTGAATAAGAGGTGCTTTCTGTTGACGACTGTATGTGGCTCTCGCTGTGAGAAACTGCTAATTACCTGCCCTATAAACACGTCACTCGCTGTGAGGAGCTGATTAATTTGCCCCATATATGCGTCTCTCGGCCTTAATGAGTTAATAGCACAAACCCTTTAGACCTCCTGGGTTCACCTGTTGTCAGTTACTACACAAAGCAAAGCAATATATACCTTTGTACAAAAGAAAGTACACACCGGGTGTATTGAAACTATTCCCAACTAAGCAAATATTTTGCTAGGAACATTGTAATTGGGTAAGACATCTAGTGTTATTGCAACACGTCCACAATGTTTGTGACTTGTAGGTTACAATCAAAACACTTTTCTAATTTTAACGCTGTTTTCAAGAAAATATTTTACCAAAGCATCAAGTGTGTACTTTCTTTGTACGTCAGTTTATATATTCGTACGATATTCCTTTTCAATAACACTCAGAAGTTTTTTTCTTTTGGTACTTTCGCACTCTCTTGTGTATGTTTTGTACCAGTAAATGTGTTGTATTTTAAAACTGATCTAAATAATATGTTGTTATGCTACAAAACAGTTGTTCATTCGTCTAAGCAATGTTTCATCACAAAAAGTACATGGACGAAACACATCCTGATAACAAAAGGGAGAGTTATTCTCCTTTTAAAGATGGGTAAATGCAAAATCTCAGTTGACAATGGTGTGACAGCCATTTGCGCTGACACGGGCGACAAAATACCTAACAGTTGAACCCAACCCGTTGGATGTTGTTCCATATGTCAAGTAAAGATATTTCGTCCCTGTATTTGCATCGGAAAGCATCGGGCACAACTCTACAGATGTTGTCCAGCTTGTTAAACCATTCAAACAATCCATTTGGCTGTGATGTCACACACTTAACGCAATGACGACGTTGAAACGCAAGTGTCTCCTCGGACGACCATAAAAGCCGTGCAGGTGAAACCTCTACTGTGAACGGCATACCGTTTTAGTTTGATCATCCGAATCTCAAATGTTGTCAGCGCCAAACTAGGGATACCTGATCGTGAAATAGAAGTACAGTTAGGCCTATCGCTGGACGTCCGGGCTGGAAGTTTGCTCGCTTAACCAATTTTATGGTTCTGCCCTTAATCGTTCACACATTAAGGAAGGATATCAATATATGGATGAACAACTTCTTTATGGATTTATTTAAGTTGTTCATCCATTTATTGTTATCCTTCTTACTGCTCCAACTTCGAAATGCCTCTCAAAGAAGTTATCGTTCACACATTGGAGGGGCGGTGGTGTGGCCAAGTAGTCGCTCGTCCCGCCGAAGACCCCAGTTCGATTCCTCACACGGGTACAATATGTGAATCTATTTAACTCCCAACAGACAAGCAAGCATCAAATTAGCTACAATTTTAATACTAGTTTTACTGAAGGTGGTGACGAATGATAAACAGATACACTACTTTTAACAGAAAGTGGTGACAAATGACAAACATATACATTGTATTAACATTAGATGGTGACATATGATGACATAAATAACGAAATTGTATAAACATTCAATGTTATTCATACGTGATTAAACTTTTCTATATTTTACAGAAGCTTATTAACAATGTTATCTCGTTGTAACAAGTCTTAGATATCAGTTTGTTGATTACTCTTTTGATTGACATATAATACCTCGCCTAGGAATATGCTGTTTTCTCACTTCATTTAGAGATGGACAGATAATTGTAAAATGATATTCTATAATATTCTATTTATTGCATATTATAGTAAACACATAACCCATCATGACTTGAGATACCCCTCCGCCTGCTGTATCAATATTAAGATACGAAGTCCTAGCTCTTAATCTTGAACATGGTTTTGTTTCAAAGAGGAAAGTACAAGATGAATGTTTGGTTCAAGAAGCACTTTAAATGGTTGTAAGAAGGGATGACAATCCATGGAAACATGTAAACAATGATTGAATGTTTACAAGAGAGTGGGGTACAGGGTGCAATGTCTGTTGACACAACTTGAATAACGAATGACAATTGTAAACATATTACCACGAACCGGTTTAGTTGGAATATTAACAATGTCTTTAAACAACCCGGAAGAAACTGTAAAGTGGCACACGCCCCATGGGAAATAACGCTAGTGTGACGCCTTTATCCTAGTCAACATCGTTCCTATTTATGGAGCACTTGTACATCCTCATTTGTACATAGCCGTGAAGGTCCGGGTTAGAATATTGATCTTCAGTAATCCATGCTTGTCGTAAGAGGCGACTAACGGGATCGGTTGACACATGTCATCGTTCCCAATTGCGCAGATCGATGCTAATGCTGTTGATCACTGGATTGTCTGGTCAAGACTTGATTATTTACAGACCGCCGCCATATAGCTGCAATATTGCTGAGTACGCCGTAAAACAAAACTCACTCACTCACTCATTTGTACACCGATATCACATGACGTGGGTTCTATTCCGCTTGTGAACGTACTAAACAGAGATGGTCTTCTCAACATTGGTACTAGCAATTTAGCTGAACTTGTAATCCATATAATGATATCATGTTGGTTTTGCAGATTGGAAACAGAAGAAATTCCTTTACAATTACTAGACGTCTCTATTGACACCCGGCGGATCTCATACACTCAGCAATGAGTCAGGTTACAATGACAACAAGACTGCATAATTATAAGCTTCGGCTGTCAGGCCTGCTTTGTTCATGCTTGTTGTTATCAGGTGTCAGAGGCCTGCGTGTACTGGGAGATACTGACTGGGTGTTATATGATAGTTGGTAGCTAAGGTTCATTGGGTTATTTGATCCAATTACTTGGATCAAGCTTATTAACATCATGATGCTTGATACAACATTGAATACGCATTGAAGGAAAATGTATTCATTCTGCAACATACGTTAGATATAGTTCGAAAAATGTAGTATATGTCTCAGATATGTCGATTTCAATATGAAATACGTGCATGGTCTTTCATGATAATGTTGGATTTTAGCATTATGGCCGCGTCCCGCCCATGTAAGATATTCGTTACCACGTAAAACAAATTGTTTGCAGCTTATCGTTTCAGCTTGGAAGTACTGTTTGCAAATGTAAAGTAATGAATCATCAACAATAAAGTTATTGTCCAGGCGTTAACAGTGCTAATCGTAATACTTGATATTTCATGGTCAGTGGAACTGAATGATCCTGGTCGAATCCCTTATACCTAAAGCATCGATATCTCGTTGACTCCACGATATTTGAAAATAGTAAAGGTTGGGAATGCCCAAATAACTAAGAAATGTTATAGCGTAAGCAAAACTATAAAAAACCCAATAATATACAAAAAGCGTAATAGAAGAGATTGCAACATGGTTGATAAGGTTCCTAACTTGGGTTGTACTGTATACCATAAACCTCAAACGGAGCCAGCAATATGTTTTGTGGTCACCTTTATCTTACTGTGGTCGAGAGTGTGTGTACTAACCTTCCATACACGAGTCGTCACTGACCCATCCTGCTGCACTTCCTCCAGGACATGCTCCCGTGGTCTTGTTACAGATGACACCACTGAGGCAGTTTCCACACTTGGAGGCACAGTTATCACCAAACTTACCATCTTGACATGCTGCACATAAAGAATAGATATAAGAACAAACACACACTTTGAGATGATACCACTATTTACTTGCATTGATCAGGATCAGTGTATCACTTGTGGAAAATATATTTACTGTAAAAAAAATGACATTTTGACATATAATAAATAAAATTCATACGTCATTTGACTGGTTACAATAACACAAACCAACTACTTTTGGAATTAATCAGATGGTTATTGCATTAACATACATTTACTGTTATAAGCATTGGTGTAAAGTGTTATTGTGGCGAGTACAGCCGATAAACATTCAGCTTCATCATGGTGAAGGTATTTAAAAAATGAAAATACAACCATACTTAGCAGATCGTGTGAGACATCTGCATCAAATTTCAGTGCAAATTCTAGCTCCCTGTTTGTAGACAGTTTCACAAGACCTGGAGATCATCTACTTACATCCTCTGACATACCATTACAAAATGGAAAACACACACAAATGGGAAAATGAAAAATTCAGATTTTGCTCTTTTGGAAAATAACTTTGAATGTAACTCCTTTCCTACCATACCTGCTTGACAGTCGGTGCCATGATATCCTGGGAAACATCCACTAGAACAATGACCAGTGATCTTGTCACATACATCAGTACTGTTACGGCATCGGCACTGTTTGTCACAATCCTCAGAAAACCACCCATCACTGCAAACTAAATATCATAAGTCCAAATCCATTTTTCCAATGCTATATGGACAGTGGTCATATTTAACATAGCTTATATTCCGGATTACAGTAAACGTCAGGCTCTAGTACTCGAGAAAGTTTCATCCTCATTGCGAACCTAAACTCTACATTTGAAGTAGGAGAATATGTACATGAACAAGCATTATTTATCCTAAATATAGCATTCTTATGTATATCTCCGGATTTGTTCGTATTTAGTTGTTGTCCCTCTTCTTCTTTTTTTATTTTATTTTTTTTGGGGGGTCTGTATTGTATTTTGTCTGTACTAATATATCCGGTGATCGCTGTGAATGAACCTTTAATGGATTATGTGAGATAATTATGAATCGTTTTACTGATGGCGTTCTTAAAACTAGAATAATTCATATATGTAATTTCGATACACTTAAAGCTGTTGAAGATGGGGAAAGTATCTACTACTATACATAGAGATCTATCTGTTCCTCATACTGGATTCTTTAGCCGTCATCTCTTTCATAGTATGACACTTCCATGACATACCAAATATCTGCACTTCACACAAAGTAAGGAATTTCATTGGACCAGGTATCCGTATAGTGACCGTGGTTCCTGTCAGTGGCTGGCGGCAGGTGAAGTTAGCTATAGGAGGAGGATGTTCAGTTGATGACCAGTTGTAGCACATCTGGCTGCCCACAAGTATCTCCATGCCGTTGCTTCTCTCCTGAACTGTTCGAAAATGATTGTAACATATCATAGGTATTAATTGCGATCTAATCACAATCTGTTAAATGTTACATGGATGAAGATGACGTGAAAAGAAACTAAGATTATTTACGCAACTTCTGTTGTCTAAGTCAGGATATGAACGTTTGCCACGATATAGTGTAACGTGTTCAGTTCCAGTCTTACTTTAGAATTCAGTTGTAACAGGCCGACTGGATACTGACGCTTAACACTAACATACAACGAAAGATGAATCGGATTAAATATTACTCTTATTCCCTATGATTCTTTTATGACAATATTAAGAATGATTAAATGAAATCCATGTGGCGTTATTCGTGAATTACAGCAATATTTCCTCAATATGCATTGCTCGAAACCACATTTCAAATGATGACGGTTATATCATATTTGTTCCAGCAACACATACACACGCACACTCACACACAAACCCATGCACACACACACACACACACTCATAAACACACATTCACACACACCGTTTGCTTTTTAGAGCCATCTTTTTTTCTTTGTCAAACTACACAAGGAAGATAATTTTATCATTGATATTCATATATATTTATCATAACAGCGGCTACTACCGAAATGGTTGGTCGGTGATGTAAACATGTTTTATGCATTTCTGTATGATCAAGAATGCTACATTACAGACATTGCTTGTTTCAGTGAAAGCGACTGTTGTATGGCTTTCAATAAATATGTGTACGTGTACGTCTATTGTTACATACGTGAAAAGATATCCTCATTTATCTGAAAGATACAAGGTTCAAGTTCGATGCACATGGATACAGGATATCCGTTATGAGAATTGTGTGATCATGTATGTTAGTTGTGATAAAGCATACGCTTTGTGTGCATTTGAGCCTGTTACTGATTGAACGGGCTGTCAACCAGATATCATGACTGCACACATGAGTATGTTTACTTTAAACAAACACAGCGATATAAGAGCCCGATGAAAAGACTAATGAATATTTAATATTCACTATTAACAGTACACGCTACCTCACATGTAATGTCATACGTGACGCTAAATGAATTTGTATATATTTAAAGTACATGGTTTTCATGTAATCCGCTGAGACTCACAGTTTTGTTAGGTGAGGTTGGAACAATGTTGCACCAACAAATGTAGGCCTGACAGACCATTAGCATGTCTATGTTATGTGTTATGCCTATTGTTATCAGTCATTGTCAAATTATTTCAGCACAGCATAAAACTTGCAGAACATACTGACTGTTAATATGCTGCACGTTCTACATAGTATACGGCGCTGTTGACTGACATGCCGCTCAATTCAAGGTTGTCAATTGAAAGGTGAAATTTATATTCCCTCGATTTTCAAAAAAAACCTCATCTTGCAGTGTCAGATTTTGTCATCCTTGACTTTCTTAATGATATATGTGTACTCACGCCTGTCGCGTATATAAAGTCTGATGTGTTGTATCTTCCCTCGAACTGAAGTGTTCAGGTTCACGGTCCAGGAGGGATTTGACTCATTCTTTGTATGGGCACATGTCTGTGGCCAGCTCGAGGCATTTGTGGTGGCTCTGCCGTCTACACCAAGGGCTGCTTGATACAGAGTTGGAAGATCTTGCAGTATACTACTCTGGTTACAAAGTCTCCCTAAGGCAATGTTTTCTGAAATATAGATACTTAATAAGCATAAGAAATATCGGTTATTTGTAAACATGATGCAACATCTCACTATCTAAATCATACTCACGTTTCTGGCAGTAGGAACCGAACCATCCTTCCTGACATCTGTCTGGATCACCGACCTGGCTACAGGGAGTAAAGGGGAACATGTCACAGGCAGTAGTGGTGTTACAGTGACACTCGGCATCTGAATGAAAATAGATAACTCAACTCGATTGAAAGTGATCATATTCAAACACACCAATAAACATATCAGATATTAAACTTTTACATTCTGTGAATGAAGTCCTTACCAGTGAGAGTAGCAGAGACACAGACCACAAGCAGTCCAATTCAAAACCAACCCCTGCCGTATACCTGAATGAAAACAAACAGAATATATTCACAGTCTTGATCACATAACAGCCAAACTTTCCCGACCGTGCAAAGTAAAGAGCTTTAGATCTTTCAGTTTTTCTCAGCGAATTGTTAACATGTTTTTAACCTCAGACACAAATTCGAAATATTTATAATATGTAACAGTATTCCAAAACACTTATGATCCAGAGTGGAATTGATTTTAGCAACCCAATGCCTGTCATAACAGGCGACTAACGGGATCGGGTGGTCAGGCTGGCTGACATGGTTAATACATGTCATCATATCCCAGCTGCATAGATCGATGCTCGTGATGTCAGTTACTTGAATATCTGGACCAGACTCGACTATTTACAGCCTCTGTGTGGGATTAAACAAGGAGAAAACAAACGAAACCAAATATACCATACCGTCTCACGTTAATCCTGGGTGCATTTTTAAACAATGAACATACAGTATAGTATCCTGAGAGGAAAACAATTCCACGCAATCATATCACTGATTTCCTCAAACAACGAATTGGCACAGCACCATCTACCCAGGTACGTGTCAGATTTTAGTTAGTCTATACACTATTATATGTCGAGTGGTGTTTCTGCAATTGCTCGGCTTTGTTCTAGTGCTTGGAGTCAAGTAGAGTGATTTTTATTGGTGTTAATGTGACTGAAATACATTCACAAAACGGTTTTTTTCAGTGACACCTTTTCAGCTTAGGCAGACGATTCAGCATTTGGCACATAAAGCTGTTTGTTACATTCGAATAACAATTGATCCATTAAAGTACTCCATTTTATTTCATTAATCAACTTGGTTTACAAAAATGAATACATTGTTTAACAATGAACAATGATTAATTTCGTAATTCAGCATTGACACTTCCGATTATCGATTTCTGGTCCATCATTTGATTGTCTTGTCGTCTAAAACCTGATATGCCATGATAAAATAAGACCATAGAATATGTTCCTTCAAATAAAGGGGTGCGGAGTTGCGTCTCACGTTCACCTTGTTCGTTCACACAACATCTATTATATAGCTATAACCGTGTGCATTATTAAACTCCTTCTTGAGAGGAAAACAATTACACCCTTTCATATCTCTAATATCCTCAAACACTACAGCGACATGCGGGGTTTGGCACATATTTGATAAATACAAGTTGTGTGGAGTTCCTGAATTTGCTTGTCGTCTTTTTATGGCCATACTGGAGTGCTTTAGGGGCTGGTAAAGCGATGTTTTGACAAGTGTCCAGTTAAAATGAAAAGCATCATATTAAGCATATTTTTCAGTTGTACCTTTTTATAGACATAAAGCTTTTTGTACTTTCGAATAACAGAATGACAATTGTCTGTTGAACATGTGTCCATGTGATTGTCTGGTTGGGTGGTTTAAATGCTACCGTCTCATGGCAGCAATTCTGCTGCGCAGTTTCGTGGAACAAACATAATGTAACTTGTATGAATGACAGGAATTCCTTACTCTTTTTACGAACTCATGGTGCCATTTCTTTTCCCCCCCAACACTTCTTCAAATAATATTTGCACTAGTGAACACATAGTCGAAGAAACAAGAAAATAATGAAAGCAACGAGAAAATAGTAGATTGAAAGCAAATAATTTATTGTCATCAATAGACTTTCGTGCAAATTCAAGCCCGAGAGTTGAAAGGTTAAGGTTCTCCGTTCAGGGAACGTCGCATGTAATACTATATTTCTCTCCCACGTCTCCATGTCTGAGCAATAACGTGACACTGAACTGCAGTGTAAAAGTAAACACAGTGCTCCGTTGAGGGTTTACAAAATGCAAACTGTCTGTACTGTAAATATTCAGTGGAGCATCCCCACACTACAGACCGTGTTCATATTTGCGTGACATGTTTCAAGAAAGAGTTAAGCTTTGAGTTCACGAAGACACTACAAGGTTCGTAAAGATGAAATATCAGCCTGTATTGTCAATAATAAGCTGTATTCAAAAGCGTAACGGACAAGCCCTTTGGTGATAATGATAATATGAAAACGATTGTCACCAAGCAATATGAATCTAAAACTGAAACTAAATCGTCAGTCGTAAGTCGTCAGTCATATATATTCAATGGATCACAACTAATTCAATGACTGAAGTATGTACTCGCTTCGAACAAGGGCATCCCGCATAGAACACAGTCTCACAGCACGTTCATATCGGCAACCAGGAAGAAAATAACATGTATGACAGATGAGGTCACATGATCAATACGACGGGTTGTCTTGTGTGCATTGACGGTGGTGCAGCTCATTATGCATTGAAATTGACATTGTAAAGCCTTAAAGGCCCGGGTGTATGATGAACAAATATTGGATATCACACTCTCAACTTCTCTTTCTGCTCACATATAAGGTAAGCAAAGTCACTGTCCCGCTTAGATCATATGACTAGATATACTTTGCGATCACAATAACAAGAAATCCAAATAAAAACATGACCATTGACGCTGAATGTACCATTTACATGTTGATATGGAGAGTTGACCTGCAAGGCTCCAAGCAGGTTGGTTTCGTAGATAAACAAACTTTGTATTGTATCCGAGTGAGTGAGTTATTATTTAACGTAATATCGGCAATATTTCAGTCGTATCGTGACGAAAACACTTGACATTGAAATAGAATATATAGAGAGATTACAAAAACCTGCCGACGAAGGACAGTAAAAGTACTAGATAATCACAGATATTAATATAAAACTAGAGAACAAAGCTAAAATATTCCAATTAAAGAAGACAATACAATGTAAAAATGGGCTATAGATCGCCAACAACAGAAGGTAGATCAACATACTAAGGCCTATGGGGACTTCGAGTACTTTTGTTACCTGCATGGACCCTAGCTCGATTTACACCATCCCTTCAGCCATTGGCGTTGGTACTGAGATTTAGCCATACATTAAAAACACAAAAATACTACGATTAAAAATCTGGTACACTTAAACTGACTTGAAATGTTTTTGGACTTACGGACACTCGCAGCAGGACAATAATTTTACGCTACTTCAACCCCCTTTGAGAGTACAGCCACTAACAATCTCAGTTACTAATTCAAACTACCAATAATAAAATATATATCTATTTACAAATCACTTAACAAATCTAATTCTTTGAAAAATGCAATAATTAAATGAGCACTGACATTATTAAAAAGATCCTTCATAGTGTTTACTTTGAAATAGTTATCCCATGTGATGGAATATTCGATGCAGTCAAGCAAGACATGCTTGACTGTGATTCTTTCATGACAAGGGATGCAAAACGGAGGATCTTCGCCTTTAAGCAAATATTCATGGGTATACCTTGCATGGCCAATACGACATCGCCGGATAATGACCTCTTCAAATCTGGACTGACAACCCAAGTAAGTGTAACCGATACAGGGTTTTATTTCATGTAATTTATTGATACATACTTGGGTGTCCCACTTCTTCTGCATCAGATCACGGATGTAGGTTCTAATGCAAGCTTTGTAATCAGAGTAAGGAATAAGAAGTGGTGTCACAGATTTGTTGAGTGCTGCCTTTGCAGCAAGATCGGCCATTGTATTCCCAGAAATGCCAACTTGGCTTGGTAACCAACAGAAGACGATGTCGCATTGGCCAGTAGCAAGATCATTATATAATTCGATTATTTCAATTAAAAGTGGATCTTTGCAAGAGAGATTTTAAATAGCCTGAAGGCAAGAAAGAGAGTCAGAAAATATAATATTTTATATAGTTTATGTTTGGGATGTCTTTGAATATATTTAAGAGCTGTTAAGATGGCGTTTGCTTCTGCTGTAAAAATGGAGCTGTTATCAGGTATTCTAGAAGATATTGTTCTGGATCCAGTGACAGTGGCACATGACACCGCGCCACCGTCCTTGGACCCATCTGTAAATACGGATTTGTGTGTATTATATTTAGGTTTTAGTTGATTATATTCTTGTTTATAAGGTAATTCATTAGTTTCAGATTTCTTAAACTTTGTCAGAGTTAGGTCAACTTCAGGCCTAACCAGTTGCCAAGGAGGAGAAGAAAGAAGACGGGACGGAGCTATATTTTCCAGCTCAATGCCGGCAGCAGACAGGAATGGCTTAATATTTGTTATAAGGTTATCTTGGTTTCAAGATACCAAGTTAATCTATTATTCACCGTACGTTCCATGGTTTTACAGACACAACTAGTTAGAGATATCGGTCTGTAAATAGATGGATCTGTATGATCCCTGCCAGGTTTTGGTATTGGGACTACAATGGTATTACGCCACGAAGGAAGAAATTCTCCAGACGTCCATATTTGGTCAAATATATCTAAAAGCGTCATCAGACATGGTTCAGGTAAGTGTTTCAGTATCTGGTAATGTATATTGTCTTCACCCGCTGCAGTGTAATGAGCTTGCTCAAGAGCAGTATGTAGCTCATGTATTGAAAACACTTCGTTATAATCTTCACCGTTATTTGATTCGAAATTAAGTTTTGTCTTTTCCTGTTGTTTCTGATATCACTGAAACTCAGGGACATAATTTGCCGATCATGAAATTTTGGCAAGAGTTTCGTCAATTTTATCTGCAATTTTAGATTTGTCAGTTATTAAATTATCGCCATCTTTAAGATGGTGAACTGCAGATTTTGAACCTTTGCCTTTAATTCTTTGAACCATGTTCCATTCTCTGGACATTGGCGTACGTGAATTAATTTTGGAGACATAATTTCTCGAAGATTGTCGTTTGTTTTGTTAAAAGGTACGTTGGGCCTTTGCATTGAGCTTTTTTAATTTATTTAAGTTATGGACAGTTGGATGATGGCGGAAAAAACGCTCGGCCTTTTTCCTCGCTTTTCTGGCTTGTCTACAATCTGTATTAAACCATGGTGTTCGTACATGTGGAGTCGTAGAGGAATTGGGTATACACTCATCAGCTATTTCATTTAAAACGTCAGCAAAAGTTTGAATGGGATCAGTTATATCACTGAAACATTCAGGTCGCAGTTTCGATTTACATATAGTTTGATATAAAGACCAGTTAGCCTTCGAAAAGTTCCATCTTGAATACGATGGAGAATCGGATGGAGATATTTCTGAAAGTATAGTTGTGAAGTGGTCACTTCCACAAAGGTCATTATGAACAGACCAATCAAATTCATTCAGGAAGTTAGAATCTACAAGAGACAAATCCAGTGAAGGATAAGTCCCAGTTGCAAGATGCAGATAGGTGCTTGAATCATCATTAAATATGCACAGGTCATTATTGGAAATGAAATCTTCCAGTATTTTGCCTTTAGTATTAGTGTTAGTACTGCCCCAGAGTGGGTTGTGACGGTTAAGGTCACCCATAATAACACATGGCTTTGGGAGTTGATCATAGAGTGATTGAAGATCAGTCAGCTGAAGATTCGATGAAGGCGGAATATACAGAGAGCATAACGTAAATGCTACACCAAGAGTAGGTCGCACTGCAACAGCTTGGAGTTAGTGCTAAGTGTAATAGGGCTGTGAATAACATCCTGTCGTATATGGATAGTAGAACCTCCAGTGGCTCTATCACCTGGAGGGGAAAAATAATGATACGTTTCAAACTGACGTAAGTTAAAATTATCTGTCTGTTTCAGATACGTCTCTTGCAGACAGAACGCCGATGGTGTTAAATCCTGGATTAATAGCTGTAATTCATTAAAATTTGTCCGGAGCCCTCTACAGTTCGACTGCACGATATTATTAGATAGACCTATCTTTTAGGCGGATTAATTGGGGATTTACCCCCGCACCGTTTTCGAGGGCGACAAGCTATGTGCCCTAGAATGGACGTTTTCGGACACGTCCATGTATTCAAGTGATCCGTATTTGTTACATAATTTGATTTTATCATCGTAACTTTTGGGACTCTGCCACTTCGTTTTTTTCAAAAAAATCTTGCTTCGGTTTGCCTTTGCTTTTTACGATTGGTTGAACGTTACTGGTAGACTGAGACATGTGAGACGCCTAAGAAAATGTATCACGATTATAAGTTGCTTCTGAGTGGGTTTGGGGCGTGCAAGGAAGTGGTTCCACAGTTTGTGTAGACATACATGATTCCGAAATATGTGTAGAACGCACGGGTGTGACAATTTCTGGCTTGTTCGTTTTGACCCAAGTCAAAACTGTTTGGCAGGTTACCGACGATGTGGATACTGGCGATGTATTTACCTTTGGAATGATTTCAGAGGGTGTCTTAGCGACATATCCGTATGTATCATTTGGCAATGTAGTTTCAACTAGTTTGTTTGCATCAGCAAAGCTAATGTTTTGTGTGAATTTAATTATGTTAATGTCCATTTGTTTTTTCCACATTTTGCAGTCTTCTGAAAAAGAAGAATGGCTACCTGAACAGTTTGCGCACTTTTTAAAGTCACTGTCACAGTCTTCCGTGACATGAGACGTCTCGCTACAATGACCACATGTTACTGGCTTTGTGCAAGTGTTTGCGCCATGACCATATTTTTGGCATCTATAACACCTTAACGGATTTGAAATATAGATATCTACTGCAATATTACAATATCCTGCCCTTATTGACTGCGGGGGATTCGGGGTTGAGAATAGGTGTTAGTTAGAAAAGTCTCATTGTTTTTGTGGGTAGTGAACCTTTTGACATATCTAACTCCGTGGTTCTTCATTTCAGACACAATATCTGTCAGTCAACGAGCATTCCCTGTCTCTGATTATGCCTTTGCTGGTATTCAGTGTTCTGTGTGCTGACACTGAGACAGGGACACCCACAAATGATTCAATTGACATTAGGTTTGATGCCTGTTGCCTTTTGCTACATTCAATTAACAATGCACCTGAACGTAAACGTTTAATGTTTTTGACGTCTCCCGCACTGCCATGTATACCCTTTGATACAGCAAATGGGTTTAATTTCAGGGGCGTTTTATCAGGATTTCCAGCACCAGGAAACGTGGCCAGAAATCGATTGATTTTGAAGGTCGTTCATCGTCGTTGTCTAGTGGACGTTTGTTGTTTGTTTAGGGGGTTTGGTACTCCATGGTTGTTTATATAATGGTTCATCATCCGAGCTCCCCAAACGCCACGGAGTGTCATAAAGACAGTGCTAATAACAAGTGGATCTCCGACTTGCAGCACCAGGGATACCCGGATGATATACTCCAGTAGAAGAATTAAAGAATTAATGAATCTACCAGATTGGCCGATGAGCCACCGCCTTCTGGGTATATGACTCTAGGCAAATTACAAAATTAATGAAGATGCACTTGAAATTCAAGTGATAGGTCATTTGGCCAAGACTTTTATCAAGACAAGTTAAAACGTTGAAGTATTTTGTGAAATACAATAATACTCAGGGCTTGGCATGACCAGCCAATTGGTTGAACCGGGCCCATTCAACCACCCGTCTAGGTGAAGTAAGGGGCGAAGTGGTGTGTTTGGCAAAGGAACACTGTTCCTGGAACCAGTGCCCTCAAACACCAAACTCCAGTTTTCCACCGACACAGTGGCACAACCCACGGTTAACAGGTTGGTGGACCAAATATACCCCGGGTCCACAACGGGGGGTTGAAGAGCGCTTAGCGTTACCCAGCACCCACCACGAGGAGTTGTCTTTTCACGGGTGTCAGAAGGAGGAGGAGGAGAGAGAAACATTAAATTTTGGTCATGAAAGGTTTATGTAATACATGTTACATGTGGTATCTGATCGTTTCGATACTTATTTACCTTACTACCTTGTGGACAATGAATATGTAGTCCAGTAATGTTGCATCCCTTACAACATGGTAGATGATAAAACCATTAAGTTCATCCTTAATATGATCAGCGTACGGTGGTGCATTGTCAAATGTTCTAATTTATTTTCTGTTGCTGGAACATTTGTCATCCTGAACATGATCGACTATGTTGTTATAAGGCGTTGCATTGTCGATATGCTCGTATGTACTTTCAGTTGCTGGAACTTTTGTCTTCTCATCAAGTCCCACATAGTGTTCCTCTGACGTTTTGTTTTCAAACCCTTCAGTTGTTTCAGCAATCTGATGAACAGAATGTTGCTATGTTGTGAGACAAGAAACCTACAAACCTACCGCGAAACACAGACAATGTCCTTTAAACTATGAGAGACTTAGGCAACGATTCTGTAAGATGGTGTGGAGGTCAACTATTCAAAACATATCTGAAGTTCTTGTGTACTGTATAGCATGTACATTATATTCTGTAATAACCCGTTCAGTTCAGTGTCAAAGTCTGTCATATGGATACAAGGATGGTCGTTGCCTTTTCAATGTGTACTTTTTCTCTCTCAGGTAGCATGTAAAACCTCTACAAGAACATAAAGGACTACAAACGTCAGTACACAGGTATAGGAACCAAATCATCTACAACTAAAAGACACGATACCGTATACCAGTGATTTACTTACATTAAAAGGTTCTAAAAGTTTATTTAAAGAATGGATATATTGTTTTATGCATTAAGGAAAGAACAGTGTTCACCAAAGAATTTGACATGTTCCACTGACAGCATACCAAGACACCATAACTTGTACCATCAAGATATTTTAAAAGAATTAAACTTGTTAACTGATTTGTAAATAGATACATATTTTATTATTGGTAGTTTAGATTAGTAACTGAGATTGTTAGTGGCTGTATCCTCAAAGGGGGTTGAAGTATTGTAAAATTATTGTCCTCTTGAGAGGGTACATAAGTCCCAAAATGTTCAAAGTCAATTTAAACTTGCCAGGATTTTTAAACGTAGCATTCCTGTCATTTTAATTGTGGCTAACATTTCTTACAATCGCCAGCAGCTGAAGGGATGGTGTAAATCCAGCTAGGGTCCATGCAGGTAGCCAAGGTACTGTAAGTCCCCATTGTCCCTAGTATGGTGATCTACCTTCTGGTGTTGGCGATCTATAGCTTGTTTTTATATTGTATTGTCCAAATAGTGCTATCAGTCTTAACTCTCCATACTAGTTTCAGTTGTACTTGTGATATTCTAGTTGTTTTACTGAGGGCAAATGTATCAACACCGGGTTAAGCATAACAGATAAATATACACTTACGAAACAAAACCTGTGGACAGATATTGTCATGCTTGCAAAGACACTTGGTACAACCTCGTTTCTCGATATCGCAAAAACAATCAAAACTAAATGACACTACATTCTGAGGGTGAGTGAGTGAGTTTATATTTACGCCGGACTCAGTAATATCGCAGTTATATGGTGGCGGTCTGTAAATAATCGAGTCTGGACCAGACAATCCAGTGATCAACAGTATCGATCTGTGCAATTGAGAACCTATGGCATGTGTAAACCAAGTCAGCGAGCCTGACCACCCGATCCCTTTCGTCGCCTCTTACGTCAAGCATGGGTTACTGAAGATCAATATTCTAACCCGGGCCTTCACGGGTCATATTCTGAGACATGGCCAATGTACAAGAGTGGAGATGCCAGATCTTTCACTTATATACCTACTCCGGATAAGAGCTAAACTATGTCTCTGCGCTACTCACCTCTCACATCAACAGCCCACAGTCACTTGCCTGAACACCAATACAATCCGGCAACCAGGAAGTTGTTTAGATAAAACACGTATTGAAAACATAAAAGAGATATAGTCTCCTGTCATGCTTTGTGAAAACCACAAATTGTCTATACAAATCATACACCTGCGAAACTGCTTTGCTACGTGTACATGTAGATACAATGGTCTAAACTTCTGTACTCTATAGTACCCTAGCCGCATACCGTCCACACATGATAGAGCAATAGGAAAAAGAGAAAACGAAATGTAAGCTCATGTGCACAACCGTCCTTGATCTTTATTTGGGTGGTTGTGAGGGAGTGGGGAGGAAACTCCAGACCCCCCCCCCGACACACAATACATCTGCTTCGACGACTACCAACGCTATAGAGCAACGCCGTACGTACAGATAGGGACTGTAAGGCTCTGTTGGGCGGGTCTGCTTCGGTGATGAATCCCGATTTTTTTCCATAGCCGCCAGAGAGGGGTGAGTGAGTGAGTTAAAATTTATCGTCACATCGGCAATATTTCAGCCATATCATGACGAGAACAATGAAGTTTATACATAGTAATTAATGGTAAATTTGTAAAAACCTGTCAACGAAGGACAGTAAAATAACTAGATTATCACAGATTCGAATTTAAAACTAGTAATTACATCTAAAACAGTTTAACTATAGAGGGCAATACAATATAAAAACAGGCTATATTTTGCCAACAACTATAGGTAGATCAACATACTAGGGACCATGGGGACATACAGTACATTTACTTCCTGCATGGGCCCTAGCTGGATGAGAGAGAGGACAGTATGTCCACTTACATTGCTATTAATGTTTGTCACCGAGCAGTTTTGGACAAATCGATGGATTCGTTTGCGGTAAACATATTCTGTGTTGTGATGGTGTGGGGCGGCCAATCCTTCAAACGGAGATTTGTCTTGGTGGTCGGCCTATGGAATGTGACCAAAACATCGGAACATCGACCAAATCATTCATCGTCACATTCTTGTCATTATTCAAAGTGAGAGAAAGTTGTTTTAACATTGCGACGCACCAACATATAGAGCTCGTGTCACTGCTGACTCCCTTCATAATTTAAACACTAAGTCTTTCCATGGCGACTTCCACAGGGAAGAATTCGTAGTCGTATTAAGCCTGTACACAGGTGGACAGGACGTGTAACTATCGCCACGCATAGTTTCATTCTCGTATCAATCGAACTAAATGAACTATAGTCAGCATATTGAACAGAGCATTTTTGTTCTAATTTCGCCTTTGCGTTTTACTTCTTTGGGTTTTTAATAGTGCATTTTCGCAACATAAAACAAATTCTCACGACGACATATGCCGTACAATGCCCCAGCTATAAAGCACAAAGAGGCATTATGAGTGAGGGAGTGAGTGACAGGTATTTATTGTCACATCGGCAATATTTCCACCATTTCGTTACGAAATCCAATTTGACATTGATATGGGATAAATGTATAATATAAAGCATGTCATCAAGGGACAGTTCAGGAACTGTGTCCAGTGGTGGTTGAAACGTATTTTACTGCTGTAGCCGTTTAGACATAAATCAGTGAAACCATTGGATATTACATACAACCATCCTTTGGTATTTGCCAAGTTTCACAATCCACTTAAATAGATCACTTGGAAGCATGCATATTATACTCATGTACTCATCTCCCCAATCTGTACACTTCATCCGACCATTCTCTGAAAGAAACATAAGAGACAATTAATAGGGGACACATTAATGGATAAGAACATTTTATTCTTTGCATCGACATTACAATGTCCTTTCATCAAATATGTATCATTAATATGTATCTGTAAGCTGAAATGTTTACACAAGGTTGACTTAATAAACAAAACTAACTCCTGATTGCAAGCTAAATACCAACATAAATATATGTAAAAAGGTAACTGCACACAGCTATTGTAATACAAAAATGAAGCTAGTCATTAACCGACAACTATGCCAACTAAAAAAAATGCAAAGTAATGATTTCTATGACATTTCTTATATTGCGAAAAAACCTTGTTATTACTTCGACCATGTAAGTAATACACCACAGTTCTGCGTAAAAGTCAGCTTGTCTGTTTTTTAAGTTCTCCTTTACGAACAAGTATATGTTGCAGGTGTTCATTTCAATCCTGGAACCCGCTACCAGTCCTAATCTTGTTAAACATCCGCAAAATGTTAATAATTGAGGAGTGGATGAGTAAGTTAACATTTAACGTCACATCGGCAATATCAGCCATATCGTGAAGAAAACAATTTTTTAAAATAAAAAAAATAATAACATGTTAGAGAGTAAAACCTGTCGATGATGGACAGTAAAAATAGTATCACATATATGAACACAAAACTAGCATGTAAAACTTAAAGAAGACAATACAATATAAAACACGGGCTAATGATCGCCAACAACTGAAGGTAGATCACCATACTAGGAACCATAGGGACTCATAATCGTGGAGGAAAACGAAGCAGGCGAACACAATTCGTAGAAAATAGCAATGATGCATAACTGCATATTTTACTGATGAACACACAGCACATATCTCATAAAAGAAACCATAAAGTCAGACAGACAAGCTAAATAGTGGATTGTGCCAATGTCATACTATATTTACTACACGAGTGCCTAAATGTTGCTATTTCCCGAACGAGAACGAGTGATATACCGATCTTTAGGCACGAATGTGATATGGGCACGAATATAACGCTCTATTTATGAACGAAGTCGTCAAATTGAGGAAAGTAAACCCAAATCTACTTTCAAACATAGGCTGGCTACCTGCCGTCGCCGCATATAGAACGCAACGTCATAGAAAAACGTGACGTCACGGCATTGTTCATAACGTTACGTCACCGTGACGAAGTGATATTTTGCTTTAGGGCATAGTATGAAAAATCTGAACCCCAATAGTTTCGCCATCGTAGATAATGAAATTTGTAACTGCAAAAAATATTGCATTCCTAATCCGCATATAGTGAACAAGGCCAATGGCGACTCTCAGTACAACCTGCAAGGTTGCTGCTAGATAAAAATACGTCAGGGTTAATAACATTTTCTTGCTCACTGGCCACAGGTTTATAATAAGAAAATACAATACAAATAGGCGTCACTGACCGACGTGAAATATAGTGGGAAAACAACAAATGGTTCAAGTGGATATTATTTATGTTACAAATCAAATCATTTGGAAAGAGTAAAACATGAGGTGACAGTACATATAGTTTGTATCATAATTTACTACGATATGACGAGGTGCATGTGACCTTCCAAAGAAACATACCACGGTTTTGCACTAACAAACCAGCTATCGGTGGTATCTTGATATTTATATAATGACGAATGTACACACGGGCAAGTCTGAAAGTTCTACATATATGACATTATATACACATGAGGCTTATTATTGGTGATATGTTTGACATTCATGAAAAAAGGTGTCAGTGAAATATGTACATAGAGACATGCATAAACGTTCGACAAATAAGAAACGATAGCAATTTTTCTCCGGGTATATATAATTTTGAGCTAAGATATATCAGTCTAGGAATGTTGTAAAAGTGACATAGTTTGGCGCAATTTGCAAACCTTATGCCACAACAAGGAACAAGGAACGGACTTCACCCATGCTGTGAATCAAAACTTATATGTGCAGGGTAATAAGGAAACGATTCAACCGTGTTTGAACTTTTGAAATGTTTCAAACAGTATCTAAATACTATACTGAATAAACATGTGTTGTATTTCAGTGCAATAACATGGTTAAGGTAACATATTTTTGTGCTACTTTCAACCCACACGTATTATGAGGAACACAGTACTTGTCTTCACAGCTGTGAATCAAACTTGCATATTCAGGGCGACAAGCAAACATTTCAACCGCAAACAATTATTAAGAGAGAAATATTCAAAATAATACAAAATACTTACAACAGGCCATACACTGAATCATGATATGAGCTATATTCGAGAGTGCTGAGTTCAATAAACACTGCTGTTGATGCTTGCAGTTGATAAAAGATAAACGCTGATTACCATTTTCATAATCGTGACATTGTGGATATTTAAGCTAGAACACGACTGGCTCGAGTTTTATTCTAATTAGTGACCTGAAATGAGAAACTACCTTTGTCAACACTCAGAACAATTTACTACTAATACAAAAGACTATTCTATATCCATATACATCACGACAGGACGCTTTATGCAACTATTCGTTGGTATTGTCAATGTGTTCATATGTGTTCTCCACATCTGGATCCTTGGTCCTCTCGTCTAAAGACAAGTAGTTATCTTCGGGTTTCTTTTGTGACGCATCCAGTTGAACCTTCAGTCTGTAATATACGGAAATGTTTCAATCCTTATGATTCTAATATAGACATTTTTTCATCCTCCGAAATGCGTTCCTATACATAATATTATGTGGTTAATATAGCACAAAATGTCAATCGCTGTACTTAAGTATCAAGTATCTTCCCCTTACCTTCTGTTGTAAATGATGGCTGTCAGCAGAGCGATTAGAGCCAAGACGAGCAGTGTCCCAAGTGTTGCTGCAACTGGCACTACATGGTTTGAGTGTCCTGACGTTGTCGAGCACTCTGTACAACCTTTCAGAACATAGAAAAGGGGTTCATATCAGCTGCTTTGATGTCTTACCAAGTTACCTTCACTCGGTATATAGATAGAAAACAAGAATTCCAACAGTAGTCTGGATGACTGAGCAAATTTTGCATATGGTTGAAAGAATACATTAGTTTCATAATATTTCTTATTGATTTTGGTATCTTACCTTGACACAGGGGCTTCATGAAGTTACCCTGACATCCTTCGGGACATTCCCCACTGGATTTATCACAGCTTAAGGCGTCTTTACACTGACCACATCGTGACATACAGTCAGCCCGTACATACCATCAACGCATTCTGGGGAGTAGACGAGATATATATTTATATGCCTAACTGCCAGACTTCTACCAAATAATGACAAATTAAGATTTCCCTCACATCAAAATGTACCCCACCTTTACAAAAGGGTTCTTGAAACCCTGGCTGACATCCTTGTTGACATGTTCCATTGATCTTGTTACAAGGCAGGTTTCCTTTACATTGGCCACAGTCAGTCTGACAGTGGTGTCCATGGCGACCATCACTGCAAGCTGTAAAGATGTGATAAACCGTCAACAAACAAGATAAAACGTTCAATATATACAGGAACAAGTGAAGATTTAGTACCTACCCTGTGAACAGAGATCTGGCCACCATCCAGGCTGACATCCTCCAGGACACTTCCCTGTTACCTTGTCACAGATATCAGTGTCCAGACAGTGACCACACGGAGACGCACAATTGGCACCATAACGTCCATCCGGGCACGCTGTAGACAGTAACATGAACACGTGCCACTGAACAATAGTCTAAGTTAGAATTAGTCAATTACATAAGGTATTTCAACATCAAATGTCATGGGCATTTGGGACATATGTGCATTACTTTTGACATGTGTGCTCGAGTTCCTATGTATGTGTAGGTTTTTTTAATGATTGCTAAATTTGTGTTCATGCAGATCAGGAATTTCCTATGGAGATAAAGGATAAAGTTAAATTTGAACGAGATGTATCCAAACTCTCCAATTTTTTACACTTTTGTTCTTACCGACAAGTCCCCATGGTCCCTAGTGTGGTGATCTACCTTCAGTTGTTGCAACCTATATCCTGTTTTTATATTGTATTGTCATTTATAGGTAAAATATTTTAGATTTAATTACTAGTCTTAAATTTATTCCTGTGATATTCTAGTTATTTTACTGTCCTTCTTTGACAGGTGTTTTATAATGTAATTGTGTTTATTGTTAATTTATGACTTTTAAGTCACAATATGGCTGAAATATTGCCGATGTGATTATAAATTTTAATTCACTCACCCACTCTTACAGACATATTTAGATTTTTTTTTCTACCCGAAGATGCATTTAAACATCTAATTTCCAATATGTAATATGTAATATCCAATATGTAATATGCATACACTTAAAAACAACACAGGTGTGGCATATTTACATTACATGAAAAAGGCCAATACAACCACCAGTTTTGGTCACGTATTCTCCCTGACGTCACCACAGACCAAACAGTACATTTGGAATATGTTTGCTAATGTTCCTGTTGAATAGTAAGACATAAGATATAAAAGCTATCATCCTCTTGTTGCTGATGTTACAATTGCAGTTGACTTACGCTGATCACACCTGTCACTGAACCACCCTGCTGCACATCCTCCAGGACATGTTCCATTTGTCTTGATGCAAACACCACCATCCACACAGTTGCCACACTGGACGCCACAGGCTAGACCATAGTAACCATCTGGGCATGCTGTGTACATAAAATATAAATTCAGGTTATCTTCAATATGACTAGCCACATCTACAGTTAATCCGATGTTGTTGTATCGTATTTTAGCGTGACAAATGATAAAGATGTTTCATGTAAGACAGAAACTAAAAATTCATTGGTTACCGAGCAAAAGGTAGCACATAGTCCAAATAAAAGTGTACTTTATCAATAAAAATGCAAGGGTGTGTTCTCAATGTTAAATTTCGTCACACATGAGTACAAACTTCTACAGGATCTACATGAATACTGTTAGTTTAACAACAGAGTATCGAAAACATGACCAGACTGCACGTTGCGCATATACGTTGATTTTCTTTATAAATTCAATTCAGAAAGTTTGCACACCTATTCGTCTGCCTTTATGAAAGTTATTCAAACTGGCCCCTTTGTTATCCGTTAAATCACCAGTTTAGTCAATACTGTTTATCATAACACAAAATACAAAGCTATAGTCGTTTTGGTTTTTTGATATTGATGAAGACTTTTATACCTTTTGTATCTTTTCGATGACATGCATTGACAGAAACAAAGTTCCCAATCCCCAAACACGTATACATACGCACGCACGCACGCACGCACGCACGAGGGCACGCACACACACATACAAATACACATTCACTACCGCTACCACTACTGCTACTACCACCAATGCCACTATCAAAATAACCGCTACCCAGCCCAGCCCACCACTATCGTTACTCAAAAGTGTGTTTTTTCTTCATATTAATTGTAAGTATGAGATACACCCAACCGCTACCATGGTATCTATTCTTTCTTTTTCGGAACATACCTGTTTGGGTGTTATCGTCAATGTTTAGTAGCGTATGGGTCCATTTTGGCCCAGAGACTTATATGTTTCCACATATACAATGTACAACTGGTCGCTTAACTCAGAAACTCATTCAGGAAAGGAAAAATACATCTGACGCATATGCAGACTCTTTAACAAGTTTAACCCGTGAAGGTCCAGGGTTAGAATATTGATCTTCAGCAACCCATGCTTGTTGGAAGAGGCGGGTGGTCAGGCTCGCTGACTTGGTTGACACATGTCAGCGGTTCCCAATTGCGCAGATCGATGCTCATGCTGTTGATCACTGGATTGTCTGGTCCAGACTCGATTATTTACAGACCGCCGCCATATAGCTGTAATATTGCTGAGTGCGGCGTAAAACTAAACTCACTCACTCACTTTATCACATTTAACTAAACTTGTAACTATGCTCAAACCTGTTTGGCAGTCGGTTCCATAATATCCTGGGAGACATCCCCTAGAACAGCGACCAGTGATCTTGTCACATACGTCATTACTGTTAAGGCATCGGCACTGTTTGTCACAGTCTTCAGAAAACCATCCATCACTGCAAACTGATAATTGTTTGATATTTTCAGATATAGTCACCATATACATAATGTAGAACTGTATGTATTGATAACCTAACACTTTGATAAAACATATGCGTCACTTCAAATATGAATACACATTTTCTTTCAAAAAGTGGTTAAATGTAACATAACATATGTTATATTTGAGATTAAAATTTCTAAACAAAGTACACATTTTAGTGTTGTTGTGTGTTGAGTCCCATCCGTTATTCCAACCCACATTCTCAGCGCAAGGTATCTCTTTCATAGGGCACAGACGAACAACCATGACACAATGTATGACCTACAAAGACGATTCAGTACGTTCAAATATTACCATTTGTGTGACAATTTGGATAACACCACGTGAATCTGTTTATGGCGTACACGAACGAATGCACGGTCAAAACGCTTACCATATATATATATATATATATATATATATACATAGTAATGTGGATTAGAATCAAACAGGCACCGTGAGAAGTGGACTCCAGTTTTGCTAGTGTATCATCGGCCGGTGGTATACTCTACTGAATGAATACAGCTGATGGATAGATACATTTTTCATTGATGTTGAAAAGATTGAACAATTCAATAAAGAAAACCTCACTGGGCATTGAATTTAAGTAATAACAGCATTATACTTAATGTTAAAAGTCCTCATAGATGGGTGCAAAATGTTTAGTTCATCGCTGCAATATCCATTCGAATTTAATATGTTTCAACAGCCCGATAGATAATACATGTATCGATAGTGAAACCTTTTCTAGTTCATACCAATGAAGAACATATCCAAATATGTAAATCCACATAGCCATGACATACCAAATATCTGCACTTCACACAAAGTAAGGAATTTCAGTGGACCAGGTATCCGTATAGTGACCGTGGTTCCTGTCAGTGGCTGGCGGCAGGTGACGTTAGCTATAGGAGGAGGATGTTCAGTTGATGGCCAGTTGTAGCACATCTGGCTGCCCACAAATATCTCCATGCCGTTGCTTCTCTCCTGAACTGCACAGATGGAAGACACATATGATAAGTAGAGAATCTCAACCGTTTGACCAGGGACATGATGCATATAAACTCAAGTTGATAAAAGTTAAAACCTATGAGGCTTCACATCGAATGTATCGGTGCACTTAAGATTCGTTAATATTTTAAAACTCCGAGGTTTGTAGTTTGATGTTTTTTTAAATATTTCTGGTTTTACAATGATAGATTACTTGGAGTCTGTACAAATGCACGACTTGTAAGACATAGGTGAAATTTTTTAAACGAGATTTCTTAAAAATTATGAGCCTGATGATTGTGGTCTATATTAAAAGGGCATGGGAAACCTACCGACTTTATCAATTTATCTTAAGGATATGAAGAAATCATACGGCTAAAGTACAAGATTACCATGAAGTATTTCTAAAGCATTTCATGTACATGCAAAGAAAACTAAGTCAACAAACATATCACATGGTATTTCATTGAAAGCAGGGACTATGAACTGCTGCTGTTCTGGACAGATTGTCATCTCTTGTTTAAAGGAAATAGTATTGTTAGATACATTTTGAAAAATATGTTTTGTAAACAGATAAATGAATTTTAAACAATGTAGTATAAATTAGCAACTGTGAATGTTATTGGCTGTATGTCTTAAAGTAAAGTTTATTTATTTATTTAAAAGTAAAATTATTGTACTCCTGAGAGGGTACGTAAGTCCCAAAACTTTCAAAGTTAAGTTTAAGCTTTCCGGATTTTAAACGTATTATTTTTCATCTTTTAAACTTCGGCTAATTGTTTCCTGCAATCGCCAGCAGCTGAAGGGACGGTGTAAATCCAACTAGGGTCGATCCATGCAGGTAGCAAAAGCACTACATGTCCCCATGGTCCCTAGTATGGTGATCTACATTCAGTTGCATTGGCGATCAATAGCATTGTATTGTCCAAACTAGTTTTCTACTTGCCGAGGTGACGTTACATTTTAACTTTCTCATTCACTCTGTGGTGACATGCTGTTCTAAATGCGTCATAATTGGATGAATTTGTCCATTCCATTCATATTTTGGAATGCTTTTGCATTTGATCATGCTTTGTGAAAACAACCCATGAACTACACAAAATAAATGAGTGTCATTTGCTTGCACCGTTTGACACTACCACTACCATTTTAATCGTATGGATGAACTCACGGTCATCGCCACGTAGATAAAGCCTGATGTGTTGTATCTTCTCTGGAACTAAAGTGTTCAGGTTCACAGTCCAGGTGGGATTTGTCTCATTCTTTGTATGAGCACATGTCCATGGCTGGCTCCTGGCATCTGTTGTGGCTCTGCCGTCAACACCCAGTCCTGCTCCATGATCGTTTGCATTATTGGATAGAGTACTACTCTGGCTACACGATCTTCGCAGAGCAATATTTTCTGAAAACAGCTACACAACATTAGCATGACAAGTGGAATGAACAAATACTAGTGACACGTTGACATGGCATTACCTATATGCATCTTCCCATACTCACGTTTCTGACAGTACGGACCAAACCATCCTTCCTGACACATGTCCTGACCACCCATCTGACTACAGGGAGCTGAGGGGAAACTGTTACAGAGCTCTGTGGTACTGCAGTGACATTGGGCATCTGTATTAAAAACAGTTCTCCTTGTTGCTTGTCATATTTAAAGCTCCATGCAGGTAGCAAATGTAGGTAAGTCCTCATGGTTCCTAGTATGGTGATCTACCTTCAGATGCTGGCGATCTATAGCTGTGTCTTATATTGTATTGTCTTCTTTAATTACACTGTTTTAGTTTTACATGCTAGTTTTATGTTCATATCTGTGATAGTATTTTTACTGTCCATCGTCGACAGGTTTAACTATTCACAATGTTTTCATTTTTGTATTGTATAAATTGTTTTCGTCACGATATGGCTCAGATATTGCCGATGTGACGTTAAATATTAACTCACTCACTCACTCACTCATATTTAAAGGTTTGCTTGAGAACATAGTGATAGGATTCGAGTGAGTGAGTTATGATTTATAGTCACATCGGCAATATTTCAGACATATCGTGGATAGGATTCGAGGATGGCAAAGTATTTGTGAATCAAGACTACAGATCTGCTTATAGTTACACTTGTTTTTACATTTCGTGAATAACGTCCCTACCAGTGAGGGCCGCAGTGACACAGACCACAAGCAGTCTCACCCAGCACCATTCCATGTTTGATATCTAAAACAGAGGCAAAGAAAGTGAAACTTTAAAAATCATGGTCAAAGTCAATCTCAACAGAATGTCTTCTGACAACAAATATATCAACATGAGGGTCAGCATGACAGAGTCAACAGTGTTTCCATTTCATAACAATGTGAAATTTTAGTGACTCCAAATGATATCAAAACAGGACTTGTGCTACCTTTCAAGGCGCGGGCATGTAGGGGGGATGCGATTGATCTAAATAATAAGAGTGGCAATTTCGTAAATATCAAGATGTTTTAATAACCGAAATTTCACAGTACTTTATGTATGCCAATAACAATTGCCATCTTATCTCTTACCATAGTTGTAATGAAACAATCCTAATTGTTAAGTTAATATTTTACATTAACTAGAAGATGAATACAATAGAACACGTTGTGTTGGACTAATTCAAGATGGCGGACGCGACCAGTCGCATGTGAGACAGCTCTCGACTCTAGTGGATCATTTACGCAAATCTATGTGCATGCAAGGAATATATATCGCTTACAAGTCTTGTCAGAGATTGTAGTAGCACATACGAAGAAGAAAGGGGTTCTTTCAAGCAGAATTATGCCTCCTAAGGACAGACATAGGCGACAAGGGTCCAAGGCGGCAGGGGCCAAGGCGGCGAGGAGCCTAAGTGAGAAGAGGAAACCATCAGGATCCCCTTTAGACTCACTACCACCGAAAACACCGAAACAGACGACACTAGAAAGTGTGTTTACGTTTGAGACCAGTACCCCTCAGCCTAACCCCCAGGGATCAGAAGCCTGTACCAGTAAGAGTTTGAACGCCCCGCCATCACAACAACCAGACTCGGCTACGCCCGGTCAGGACGACACAGAGCACGATATCTCCTACCCGTCGTCCCTGTTCAACTTCATCAACGAGGCCTCTCAAGGTGTCCTAACAAGCAAGTTGACAAGTGCGTTGATGTTACCCCAACTGCAGGACAAATTCAAACAGGCGTTCATGTTGGTGGCAAAGGACGTCGTTGAGGCTGTATTGAGGGAATACATCGAACCCATGCAGAAGGAGATCAAAGAACTGAGGACAGAACTGAGGATGAAAACGGACGAACTAGAGCAATATAGTCGTAGGAATTCCCTCAGGATCAGCGGATTACCGGAGGACATACACGAGGAGGGCAGGGACACCGAGAACATCGCCATTGATGTATTGAGAGGACTACACTAGACCCTATCTCCCTCAGACATAGACAGGTGCCACCGTGTAGGGAGGAAATCTAAGGACAAGCACAGGGACATTATCATCAAGTTTGTGAACTACAATGACAGGAACAAAGTGATCACCAACCAGAGGAAACTTCGCGATACACGGTGTAATGTGTACATCAATGAGGACTTAACTAGACACAGAAGTTGCCTATACAAGCTAGCCAGAGAACTCAAGAAACAGGGACGAATTGAGTCAACGTGGACAAGAGATGGACGTGTGAACATTCTCGAACAGATCGAAGGACGTACCCGTGTGATTCACGACGAGTCGGAACTCGATCAGTACAGGAGATAACTGTGTTCTAGTTGTGTTCATGTGATGTGTGCTAATCAAGGATATTCATGGATTGTAAATATGTAAAATGTAAGTAAATTTGAAATCCACATTTTAGCCGCTACACATCCTGTTATCATGTTTTCTGTGTGTATATATCACTGTATATAGCCTTACCTTTCTTGTTTCCAACTTTCTCATTATTTGTACCAAATCTGTTATTTCTCCTCAGTATCCATATTCCATTATTGTATCCAAGCACAACCTCAGATCTGCATTGCCGTTCAGTCATGTGTTACAATTAAACATGTATGTATCCACTGTCACACTGTAACCATATTCTATGTATCAGTCTGTTTAAACAATGGGTAATAATGTTATGCAACATCGTGTGGCGATCGGTGTCTTCAATTGTGTCCGACTTTGCAAACAACTGCGTATGAATGTAAAACATTATTTTTTCAGCATGAGTGGCAAATCGTTCAGAGAACATTTTCTCACTGAACTCTCCTGCATGTATACTATCTTAACAATTTCATGTAAATCAAGCTGTGTGTTAGTTACTCTTTGTGTGCTGCAGTCGCAAATTGTCAATATCAATGTAGTATTACATCTGCTATTGTTAATTCAGCTTGCGGGAGACGTAGAGTTAAATCCAGGGCCATTTTCACGTGCAGACTATGACAAATCACTCTCAATCTTCCATCTCAATGTGAGAAGTTTACGCCACAAACTAAAATACCTGTCTGAATATTTATCTGAATATGACATTATTTGCCTAACTGAAACCCATTTAGATTCCGATGTTGATACTGATACGCTCAAATGGGTGAATTTTCATGAACCCATACGGAAAGACAGAAATTCTTTCGGTGGTGGAGTTATCATGTATATTAATCACGCTCTCTGTTTTACGAGATTATGTCATCTTGAAAATCACTGTGATGAATCTATATGGGTTAAAGTATTTATCCCACAAAAGCCGCTTGTGTTATGTGTCACCTACAGACCACAATACCAAGGTTTAGAATACTGGAGTCGGCTTGATAGTAGCATTGAGACTGCATTAGATATCTCGAGTAAAATTACCGTTGTTGGCGATCTAAATGCAAACCTTTTGTCCAATAATAACACGTATCTGCATGATTTAATAGCTAGAAAAAAATCTGAAAAATGTTATTAAAGACCCAACGAGAGTAACAAAAACAACGAGCACACTGCTTGATCCCATCATTATATCTGAAGATGTTGATGTTTTAGACAGTGGTGTTGTAGATTTATGTAAAAGTATAAGTGACCACAAAGGTACGTATATCACCGTTGATGCTCATGTAAATACCAGGTTAGCCTACAAAAGAAACGTATTATGTTATGAAAGAGGTGACTATGAGAAACTCAATGCTATGATTAATGAGACAAATTGGTATAACATATTTAGTAGTTGCAGGAATGTTAATGAAGCCTGTGCACTGTTTTATAAGCATCTCAACCGTTTTATATTTGTGTGTATTCCTTCTAGAACGGTCACCATTCGACCAACTGATAAACCTTGGTTTAATTCAGAACTTCGGAGAGAATGTAGAAAAAGAAATAGAATGAGAAAAAAAGGCCCAAAAGACAAACCGTCTAGTAGATATTTTGGCTTATAAGAAACAAAGAAATAAAGTAAATAATATGAAATGTTATGCAAAGGATTCATTTTATGCCAGTCTCACAAACGATTTTTTACTTGATCTGTATTCTAGTAATAAAAATTCCTATTGGAAATTACTTCGGTTTTTGATTAATGATTCAGGATCAGTCACTTGCATTCCGTCTTTAAGACAAAATGATGCAGATGAAAACCCAACGTTATTTACTGATATGCAGAAAGCAGAGAAACTTAATCAGTATTTTCAGTCTATATCTAGTATTGATGAAGAAAACACAGATATGCCATTCTTTGACAAACGCACTGATTCTGTTTTAGATAGTGTAACAATTGATGTAAATGAAGTGTCCGATATAATCAAATGTTTACATCTTAAAAAAGCTTCTGGCCCGGACAGAATCAGTCATAAGTTTCTTAAAAATGTTGTACATTCAATAAGTATCCCACTGTGCATGTTATTTAATCAGTCATTAAAAGTAGTATATATCCAAGTGTGTGGAAAGAAGCAAATGTAATGCCCCTATTTAAAAGGGTGATCCCTCAATGGCCTCTAACTATCGGCCTATATCCTTGATCAGTTGTGTGGGCAAGGTGTTTGAGAGAGTGATGTTTAAACGTCTGTACAACTATTTTCATGCAAATCGATTATTGTATAAGTATCAATCAGGTTTTCAGTCTGGTCACTCAACTGTCCATCAATTAATTGAAATATATGACCAAATCTGTGCGGCTTTAGATGATAAAAAACACTATTGTATGGTTTTCTGTGATGTCTCTAAAGCTTTTGATCGTGTGTGGCATAAAGGTTTATTGTTGAAATTAGAAAAATACGGAATTCATGGTTCATTGTTAAATTGGCTAGCAGATTACATAAGTAATCGTTCACAAAGCGTCTTTGTGAATGGAGCCCTATCCAAGCCGGGGTATTTACAAGCTGGTGTCCCTCAAGGGTCAGTCCTCGGTCCTTTCTTATTTCTTGTTTATGTCAATGATATTGCTGATGATTTAAACTGCTTGACACGATTATTTGCTGATGATTCGTCTCTTGGGTCATCTTCTCATGATCGTCTATTCATTGAAAGAGATTTGAATTCAAACTTGGAAAGGCTGCGGGCTTGGGCAAAGCGGTGGCTTATAACATACAATCCTGATAAAACTGAGGCAATCTTTTTCTCCTTGCAAAAGAATGTTGATGCACTAAATCTGTACTTTAACGGGGTTTGTGTCAAAACAGTTAATAATCATAAACATTTGGGATTAACATTTTTCAAAGATTGTAAATGGTCTGACCATATTGATAATATTGTAAAAATAACTTCAAAAATGATATCTTCTCTACGTAAACTCAAATTTTTATTACCACGCTCTGTATTGAATAGAATTTACGTAATGTTCATAAGACCCCATTTTGAATATGCGTGTGAAGTATGGGATGGATGTGCTAAATATCAAGCAAATAAATTAGAACAACTGCAATTAGAAGCAGCAAGAATTGTAACAGGTTTACCTAAATATACTCATCATGAACATCTGTATTATGAAACTGGTTGGGAATCTTTAGCAGAACGTAGGAGAAAGCGTAAACTTCGCCTTTTTTACAAAATACAGAATAATATGGCACCATCGTACCTTATTGATCTTGTTCCTGGGGACGTAGCATCTAAATGTAGCTATAATCTTCGCAACTCTGATGATATCTCACTTCCTTTCTCGCGATTAAAATTTTCCCATGATTCTTATATTTTCATCCACAATTAGAATGTGGAATGAACTTCCAGTTGAAGTGAGAAAAAGCGAGTCATTGAATTCTTTTATATCGAATATTGTTATAAAACATAAAACTGCTCCTCAATACTTTGATTCTGGACCGAGAATCACTAACATCATCCTTACAAAACTACGTTACACCTGTAGTCAGTTGAATTATGATCTATTCCGTGCTGGTTTAAGAGATAACCCAAGTTGTTCTTGTGGAAATGTTTGTGAAAATTCTTATCATTACTTATTTGACTGTCAATTATATACAGTACAGAGAACTATCATGATGACTAATTTACGCAGTATTACAAATGTGGATATAACCTATGAGTTACTATTACATGGCAATGCAGATCTGACTGTTCACATAAATCAAAACATATTTAAAATTGTTCAAACATATATTTGTCATTCAAAACGATTTTCTTAATTGTTGCAATTGTTCCTCTTTTCCCATATTTCTGCTCTGTTCTTCTCTGTCCATCTTGTAGAATGAATGTAAATAATACTATGTAAATACTACGGAGAGGGTGTTCTAAGTTGTATAACTTGTACCCAATCCTTTTCTCATGAATAAAATATGTTTAAAACAAACTTGTTTCGTTTGCTTTAAGGTCGACGAAGTGACAATGACATTTATGGTTTGTATCCATGTTGCATTTAGACAACCCATGAATATAATTATATTGAATATGGAGATATTCTTATGAATGTGGCAAGGGCTTTGCAACTTCTGTTTGTTAGTGAAACTGAATTAGATAGAAACGCACATGACCTAATTCTTGATCAATGTTAATCTTAGTATAACGAATATGCGGTGTCAAAATACAAATCCACTGATTCTTTGTTTCACCCGCCTTCACCAAAGCACCTCGACAAATCCTCGTGTACATACGCCTCGATATACCGATGTTTGCAGAAAGGCTATGAATGTTAAAAGAAGTGGGAAAGGATATATCACTCACTCACTAAATACATGACATTTTAAACATAACGTTCACTTTTACTGTTTTCAGCCATGTAT